CGTTAAAATGTTCACAAATAGATACAATTTCTGCAAAGCCTAAACTCCTCATTCAATGACTACTATTCATTATTACAGTCGCACCCCGTTAGTACGAAACTGACGGCCCAACAAAAATAATCGTATTAAGCGGGTTCCGTATATTATATTAGCCTTAATTTGAAGAGAAAAACTATGGATTAGAAGGTGTGTACAAAGTGTTTTATATAGAAATGAATATACCGGGACAGAAAATTTTATGTTAGTAACAAGTTCCTTGTATTATTGTCTTCGTATCAAGTCAATATTTTACTAAGAGATTACTATCAATCGGGCCTTTAATTTGAAGAGGAAAACAATGGATTAGAAGGTGTGTACAAAGTGTTTTATATAGAAATGAATATACCGGGACAGAAAATTTTATGTTAGTAACAGGATCCTTGTATTATTGTCTTCGTATCAAGTCAATATTTTACTAAAAGATTACTATGAATCGGGCCGGGATTTAGAGAAATCATCGTAGTCTCATCAGCGTAACGAGCGAATATGGCCGCCGGAGACGGCCATTTCGCGAATACATATAGTACTCGCTAGCATTGCTAACACTATGTAAACCTAACATTTCGTGAAGAAAACTGACGCATACATGCAGCCTTTAAATCCGACGAAGAATGTTTTATATAAGTGTAACATATATGTACATCCAAAGTAGAAACATTTATTTTTACCTCGCCTAGCTTACAGAAAATTAATATAATTTGATTTCGTCTCAAATTGGCTGCTTCATACAGAAAATTACAATTCTCCTCAATGCTCCACGTGAGCTGTGTGTTAACGGTCGCTCTCACATATACGATCAATTAAGATTACATAAACTTCGTCAGCTAATAGAGTTTATGTGCTAATAATACTGTCGGATTCATGAACTGCAATCTATAAACCTAATGCATGACAACTTCACATAAGCTTCAGAGGTTAAGCACTACTGACATTGTGATCAGCTGCGTATTTTATTCGGCACTTCATGCATCGATGTTTCAATACGTCAATGTTTCAAAAGATTGCGATTAAAAAAGAAGCAGAGTTGATGCGTTAGATGTATATCTACGACGATATCTGTCTGATTAGACGCGTATACTGACACGCCTACGCCTAGTCCAGTGTTAGGAGCGTCAACACGGTGGGGGGGGGGTACACGTGCAAGGCGGGGTCACCCGATGAGCCACGGCACTCAGATGAATACAATGATCCAGATATGTCCCCGGATCTATCCGGTCGCAGTCCGTGTTCGTGAAGCTGTCATCCGGTACGTATCGGATCCGGGGTCGGTCACCGGAGATGTTGTCTGCTCCCCTTCCATCCGCGTGACGACCTCTGTATTTTAAGCAGCCGCTCGGCGGATGCATGCACTCATTTTTTCACGCGGCATTTTTTTGCATGCAGCTCTATTTTGATCTGGCGGTGATGCTTCGATGATGTGATACTCTATATACTTGTGCTATCAGCGACCTTGTGACCAACCTCTCTGCAAGTATATCAGTAATTGTATGAAAATACAATTATTTATAAATATCAAGAGTCTATAATAGAAAATTTCTATTATTCATTTAGACATTTAGACATTTAGACATTTAGACAAGTTCTATTTATGGACTCTTGATATATATTATAAATATAAATGTGTGTGTGTGTGCGTGCGTGCGTGCGTGCGTGCGTGTGAGTGTGTGTGCGTGCGTGCGTGCGTGCGTGTGTGTGTGTGTGTGTGTGTGTGTGTGTGTGTGTGTGTGTGTGTGTGTGTGTGTGTGGACGTACGCGCCTGCGTGTGTGTGTGCGCGCGCGTGTGTGTTCTGTTGTGCGCGCGTGGTTGTGTGTGTGCGTGTGCGTGTATTGTGTTGCGGGCGCGCGCGATTAGTGTTGTGTGTGTTAGTGTGTGATGTGTGTGTGGCTGTCTTGTGTGGTGTGTGATGTGTGTGGTGTGTGTTGTGTGTGTGTGTGTTGTCGCGTATTGTGTGTGCTGTTGTGTGTGTTTCGCGCGCCGCGCGTGTGTGTGTGTGTGTATATGTCGCTGCCGCGCGCGTCGTGTTGTGTGTGGTCGGTGTGTGTGTGTGGGTTCCTGTTGTGTGTGTATGGTTGTGTGTGTGTTGTAGTGCGTGGTTTGTGTGTGTGTGAGTTGTGTGTGTTGATGTGCGCTCGTTGTGTGTGTGTGTGTGTCTGTGTGTGTGTCATTGTGTGTTTTTGTGGTGTGTTATATGTGCGTGTGTGTGTGTGTGTGTGCGTGCGTGCGTGCGTGCGTGTGTGTGTGTGTGTGTGCGTGTGTGTGTAGTCACGTAGCTGTGGTAGAGAGCTCACATTGAGATGACGCGATTCGCCTTTTCACAATACCTCGCGTAGTAGCATTCTAATGAGACCTTGTTATTAGGCCGTAGGCTAGAATTAGTATGACTACGTGACTGGTTGCATGTGTGCTCGGCTGTTGAGAAGCGGTGCGGCACGGGTTTTTTCCCCTTTTTTTATAACTTTGAAACAGCAGTCAATTACATGAGGCGACAGAGCAGCGAGTTCATGCTACGGGGACGGGTCGCAGTGTGTGACGATCATCTCCCATCACTGAATGAAGGTAAGCTAATCAAGATGCTATAAGCGGTCATTATTGGGGATTCTCGCTTGCATAGACTCACAAACGAGCACCAGGTTGACGCACAATATACAAGGCGTGATATGTAGCGCTGCATTGCATTTCAACCACCCGTCGAATGAATGGAGCCGCCCGCAGAATGCTGTATAAATAAGTGCAGGATAGCGAGTAGCGACACACAGCGAGAAGAACCATTCCTGAAGACTCAGTCTCACCACAACTCCGACAGGCACGATGGCTTGTGATCTTCCTGAACCATACTGCTGGGACGAGAGCTTCCAGACTTTCGTAAGTGGATAGTTTACATCTCGTTTCACTAGTAATGCGTAATTATTTATTCACGTTTTTATTTGCGGTCCGATTATGATTTTCGTACAGACAACGACAAATGACGTGAAGCCAAAGAGCTTATAATGATAAGATTATCATTATAAGCTCTTTGGAGAAGCTTCGACGGGGGAGAGAAAAGGAGCTTGGCTCCGTGATCGGTAGAAAATAAGACACATGCATAGACAGATGCGTCGAGTGTTTAGTGAATAAATTTTTACTAATATTTACTAGACTCCTACTACTCGTTGGCAACAGCAAAAGAATTTACAACGAATTGTAGGTTGAATGCCTGCTCGAATGAATTATGCAATCGAGAAGGAAATGCTGACTTAACATCGTCTTCACTGCTTGTGAATAGGTTTACGAGAACGTTCGTGTTCATGCGGCACGAACACGACAGCAATAATGAACCGACACGTCTTTTTAAAAACTAAATGGCTTTCTGTTGATTTTCTGTACTGGAGACGCGTTAGCAGTTACATGCGTGAATATAGATTGGCCACGTAACTTTGGTTGACTTAATTGTTAATGATTTGGCTGTAAACTTGATTTTCTGCTAAGCAAGTGGCTATTTGTGATGGAGAAGAAAACGTTTCGCAAAATTAGTGCAAAATACTATACGCTTCCAGGAATTTGTTCTTCAACTAATTCATGATATATCGTAGTAGTAAATTATTTTTTCATTCGCTGGCGCCAATGCCGTTTGAAAAAAAAACTATTGTACGCGATACATTTCAGTGATTTCAACATTTAAATTGACGTCTTTTTCCAATTTGTAGAAACAACGCGCTACTGCGTATTCTCAAGTTATCCTTTCGTTACTTCTTTAGTAATGATTATTTTCTGCTCTTTTTCTAGTACACGCAGATTGATGGCGAGCACAAATTTCTCTTCAATGCCATCTTCGACGTTGCCGGCGACCGTGCCAGCAATGATAAACTGCAGAGCCTCAAGGATCTCATGAACGGTCACTTCCAGTACGAGGAGGTGAGCAGATATCCTTCGAAATCAACTCGACAAGTTTATGTGACATTAACGAACGTTCACAGTCATCTTAGCCGTACAATAAATAAAATTTTGAGTAATGGCTGTGCATGATTATATAGCGTTTTGAGTCTAATTGAATCGACACAGTTGTACTTTTATTGGAGGCGCGGCCAGTAGCATAATGATGATGAGCGCTTGGAAATTTGGACTGAAGTGTTGGTGGTTCGATTCCTGGAGCAACGGTATAGTGATTGGCGCACAACATTTGGCTAAAGCGTCTGGTGTGCGCGTGCAACCTTGGTTACTGCTATTGTGCCCTTAGCCTTAGGCAAGGCGCGATAGACAATTTTACTTCAATTGACGCTCTTATTGTAGAAACGAGTTTAGAGCGTTCGAGATATGCTAATCACCTCACATTGTAAGCGAGTAGATTTGCTGAGCAATGGTACAAGAGGGTAAAGAAACAATTGCCGGGGCCCTGTGCCGCACCAGGAACCAGCCAGGCTACAACATCTGAGTAATAACAGGAATTCTTGCTGGTTTGCAGGGCATGATGGCAAGAGGTTTGTGCAGGAACCTCGACTCTCACAAGAAGATCCACGAGGAGTTCCTTGCCAAGCTGGACGCTTTCACCTGCCCAGTGAAGGATGAGAGAATCAACTGGGTCAAGGACTGGCTCGTAAGCCACATCAAGAGCATCGACTTCAAGTACAAGGGAATGTTGGACTAATTCTGTTCAGAGCTTTCAATGATTTGCGAGCGTCTGTCGGTCGAACGTATTCCATGCAGGGCAGAACTTCGAGCACCTCATCATTTGTCAGGTTTGATATGTTCGCGTGTGGTGAAGCGATCTCAAACACTTCATCATTTGCCAGGTTTGATATGTTCGCGTTTGGTGAAGCGATCTCAATCACTTTATCATTTGCCAGGTTTGATATGTTTGCGTGTGGTGAAACGATTTCCTGCCTCCTCGCTACTTGTAGTGTCGATGTTTCGAGTTCGAGTTCGAGATCACCGTCGAAGTTTGTTACTTGTAGTATTACCGTCGAAGTCTGTTGATGTGACCGTTTTATATCAATTTATATGTAGCGGTTTATATGAGTAGTAGCGATCCGTGTCTCCGGGACCTGAGGGAGGCTTCTGATTGGTCGAGAGACATCACGTAAACACGCCCACGTGATGTTATAGACCGGACGTCACGTGGGCGTGGTCACGTGACGTCTCTTGACCAATCAGAAGCCTCCCTCAGGTCCCGGGGACACGGATCGCTACTACTTATATGATATTACGTGTACAGCTTGTGTTCAGATCGAACTTTGACTGATTCAAACATGATGATGCCTACGTCTCAGCTATGCTATGAGCTGACATTGTGAGCGATTCGTGTTTGCGCTATCCGATTAATAAAGAATTTTTTACTACATCTCTATAAGATGCGACTTGTGTGCATTCGTTTTCTATAGCCAGACAATATTTTGCTAGAACTGTAATTACACGCGTTTACAACTAACACGCGACACAACCCGTACATATTTTACACGCTCCGTCGCATTTTTATTTACATAATCCATATGAAGCAGGCAACAAGACGGATACAGACCAGCTGCACGTACTGTTCGTACGGAGGACCCATGTTTCCTTATATCCCCACTGCATCAAAAAAATTCTCGCATTGAAAGATGATGAGTCCAATCACGATGCGTGATTTTTCAGAAATCCGCGGTAGGTTGATGACGTTGCTGCTATGCTAGACACGCTACGATCGAGTTCCGCGACCATCAGACCAGTAAATGCGACCATCGGTGACGACAGAGATAGTACGAGATATGTCATGCACCGCTCTACTGCTGGGCCCGTGAGCTTTTCCCCTTAATTCATTCAGATTTCGATTAAGCAGAGCTCACTCTAGAAACGCCACACAGTGTAGTGAGACCTGCTTCCCTGTTCCTTTTCATCCAGACGTAAGAGTTGCCAAGAACTCCACGGTAACCAATACGTCGCGGGCCAACGGGGACACCGCGCCTATAGTACAACGCGCGTATGTCAATCAACTGCTCTCTGGATACGCAAATAACAGTATGAGCCGACGTGTTCTGTCAGCGTGGGCCATCGACGGAAGGGCGACACGAGGAGCGACGCAGGCGTAAAACTCTCGCCAGGACGTCCTTCACCGCTTGTTACCTCTTGTAATATTCTCCTTTTGCAATATCATCACAAAAACACGCAATCTATAAGGTCGACACGCTAGATGATGTTTGTAACATTAGCTGATTTTTTTTCATACTAACTTCGAGGCCGTAGCCTGTGGGGGGGGGGAGGCAAGGGGGGCAGCTGCGCCCTTGAACTAAATTTTTGGGGCAAAATTAAAAAATAAGCTTAGCTAATAATCGTGAATAAGCCTAACGTGATTTTTTGGTCACTTATCCGTAAACGCCTTTCTCAGACTCACCCCTATACCACACTATTATAGTGACTATATGGATGTGGATCAAGAGCTGCGCCCGTCGCTCATCATTACACAGTTGGGTCATGAAATTTTGCCACCCCCAAGGAATTTGCTCAGCCTACGGCCCTAAACTTCATATAGCTACCGTCTGTTTTGCCTCCGATCTCTGATAGGCAATGCTTCGTTGTTTTTTGTTCGAGTGGCAGCGATCGGTATAACATCAAGAGCTAATAATACACTATGAGCTATGTAAGCTGTGTGTATGTGCGTGCGGGCGTGCACTGAATGAAAGCGAGTAAAATTCCGTGCAAGGCAGAGGCGATTCCAGAATTGCTGTGAGGAGCCGTGGTACGGTGAAAGCGTATGGAACCAGATTTTTTTTAGAGAATTACGGGTGCTATATTCGAAGGATACTGACGAAAGATTTTTTGTTTAGCGGTAGTTTAAGCTATGTAATGAGAGGCAAAAATATACTCCAAGCTGAAAAATAAGGCCGACAGTCAAAGGGTGGGGGAAACCTGACAACCTTAATTGTACCACCCTCATTCCATCTGGATTTGCGCACCGGCAATATATGCTAATATTTGCTTTTGGAGAATTTACCTGATTAATAGGTCGATCCTTTCCTCGCATTATAACAGGTGTAGATAATGACCATGGTACAATCAATACAACTGGTATATAATTAATACAAATGGTATAATCATCACGGAGACAAAAAGATCATCGCCCAAATGAGAAAAACAAGTACTAAATGTCGCGTCATGTGTTCTATGGACAGGAGTGTCGAAATGATGGTAAAGTGTACCTTAATCACTTTGCCTGCACAGGCTATACTGAAGTTTTTTTCTTGTATCTATTTTTTTCTTCATGTTGTATATGCACTGCTTTGTACTGTATCACTCAAAATTACCATTTTAACTGCCCAACACTATTGCACTTTTCAATACGTTTATATCTATACAAATGTGAGTGTGTGCGAAATATGTTATGTTTGTAATGTGGATATAATGGTGTACGAACCGAGTGTCGAAATGATGTGCTAGGGTACTACTTGTACAAAATTTGATGAAGTTTTTTTGTGTATTTAGTTTTTCTTCGTGTTGTTCTGCACTGCTTTGTACTGTATTCACTCAGGAAACATCATTTCTACCGGCTAAACATTTACCGTAATCAGTTTACCTGTACAGAAT